AAGTGTGTCAGGGCAGGACGGTGAGGCAGGAAGAGGATGGGAGTGTGGGAGTGGCCACACTCCCTGTTAGACATCACCGGAGAGCCCTGCGACCCTGCCTCGGCCCTGCGTGGACAGCAGCTAACTAGCTGATGGTCACAAGGAACTGCCCTTTCCTGGTGCCACCTCACCCAGCTCCTAGGACACCCCACGCCACAGTGAGCTGAAGGTCCAAGCAATTCCTTAGGAGAAGGGGAGTGATTCAAAGAGAAAGGCCTGAAAGTCGTTTCTCAGTGCCCTTCTGAGTGGGCGGGCGTGGAGACCACGGTTTCCCAGCTGGGGCCGTCAGAGCTTGCTGGTCACACAACTTCCGGTCTGCGTTTTCAGCCTCCCCATGTTCTCTTCCCAAAGTCCCTGTGGAGGCCAACGTCCCCCCTCCCACTGCAGGAAATTCCCACACGAGCGAAAACGCGGGGTCTCTGACCATCCACCAGGGAGGATGACGGTAGGTGGAGGGCCCCAGCTCCCACCAAGGAGACGAGGTTACTTCCCGCTAGGTCCCTGCAGGGCACCATGGACGCGAGTGCCCAGTGGACATGGGCCTCACCCAGGGAAGCCTCTCCTGTTCACGCGACTTTGGCCTCGGCCCTAGGGACAGCTACGTGACTCCCACCGGAGCACCCCATTCCGGCTGCACACTCGTGATGGGCAACCACGCGGGTGATGGTCACGAATGTTTCTCTGGACCACGGGTATGAGAAGGTGCAGTTCCTTCAACATACCCTTCTCCCCTGCTGAGGAAGGCCTGGGAAGGGGAGGTGGAGGCGGAGCACACCAGTGAGGGCTTGCCTGGCTTTCTGATTTCGAATCCCATCTCCATCGCGAACTCTGGTTAAACTGCCTCCAGAAAGTCTTTCACACGTGCCGTGCAGTCCTCGGACCTAACCACAAGTGGCCACGATTCCATGGAAGCTGGGAAGGACGGGAAGGAAGCAAGGTGATGGGGAAGCACTGTCCACTTCCGGGGCTTCTCTAGGCCGGTGGGCCTCCACCAAGGCCAGCCACACCAGTCATCAGGCAGCACCTGTGGAGGAGGCCAGGGGTACCGGTGAGCACCCCGCAATACGCAGGACAGCCCCCCATGCTGGAGAACGCCGGCGGTGCCGGCTGAGAAACCATGCCAGGCTTTGCTTGGCCTTGCATGGCCTCTCTCTGGCCACTGCACGAGGCTTCGTCACACGAGGGGGACCGAGGAAAAGGTGGACCGGCTTCGTTCTATACACACAATACTAGTTTGAGAAAAGACAGAAACTGAAGCAATCTGAAATCATCTCACATTTGTTTAATGTTTTAAAATAATTATTCACATCCTGAATTATCCCTGCTGCCTGGTTGCCATGGGAAATAAATGATAAATTTATCAATGAAGCCTCGGGGTCCTTCCTGGAAAGACTGGAGAAGTAGGTGGGACCCACCCGGCTTCCCTGCTCCTCCTCCGCCAGGGCTCGTAGCTCCTGAGCTGAGGGACTTGCAGAGAGGGTACCGCTCCCACCCCAGCCGCGTCCGTGGTCCTCAGTCCCGCCAGGCAGGAGCCAGCAGTGAGGCCGAGCGGAGGCGGGCAGCCTCACACCTCCAAGTCTCCACGGTTCGGTTGCTGGCTCTAAATCTTGGCTATTTCAGCAGCCAGATACTCCGGCCCGGTTGCCAGGGCTCTGCTAAGGGTTGTGTAAAGCAGGACAGGCTCTGTGTCTGAGCCTAGAACCTTGGTAATGATCGTCTCCAGACTTGGCTTAATGATTGGGCAGCAGTTCAGGCAGCAGCGGGTGAGGGGAGACCCCTCATGAGGATGCGTTCTCTGCTGCCCACTGTCCTCTGGGGACAGCAGGGGCACAGCCTGACCATCCAGCAAAAACAAGGATGCCACGGCATCGGATCAGCGCCAGCCCCGACAGGCCCCCGCCTGGCTCCCGCCAGGGAGAAGGGAGTGACGACGCACCCCTCCTCAGCTGTGTCCAAGTCACCTCGGGTCAGTGGCTGGCTGCTGGGGCTGGGACACCACTCCGTCGCCGCCAGGAGACACCGCTGCCGGGAGAGCTGGCTGTGAGCAGTCGCCGGGAAGCAAGTCTCAGGCCGTGGGATCCAACGAGAAAAGTCAAGCTGGATCGGCCCTGAGCCTTCCTGGTGGCAGTTGGTAAGGAAGGCAGCCATTCGAGAGATGAGGCGGGAAGACCGATTCTGTGCGGGGGTGAGAGGGCACGAGGAGAGAGAGGAGAGACAGTGTCACCGGAGAGAGCACGGCACGCAGGCCCTGGCCGAGGGGGCAGCACGGTGACCATGTGCCAGCCTCAGCGTTCTGGGAGCTGTCCGAGGGGGAGGCGGCAGTGAATCACCCCAAATGGCCCGGGCACAGCAAGGTCAGAGAGCACACGCTGGGAGCCGCGTGGGAGGCCAGGGCTTGGTTCCCGGGGCAGTCCCAGGGGGCAGGGAAGGCTGAGGAAGAGGACTGCAACACGGGACCTCGGGAGGGTGCTTCCCTCTGCGGGCCTTTCTCTCTCCCACTCTCTCAAGAACAAATGAACTTAAAAAAGAAGAAGAAGAAGTCAGGAATTGCCGACTACACGTAACTCTGCAACTGTCCCCCTTAAAGGGCCTCTGCCACGAATCGACAACTTCCTCTGGCCCCAGTGACTCAACCTTGAAACCAAGTGACTTTATTTTTTCAAGGTGTTTGCCATATGGAGCATGTGCTCACCAGAGACAGGGAGGGCACGTGAGAAGTCACCCGGGGGTGGCCAGCTGCACTCTTCTCCGTTCTCCTCTCAGGAATTGAGCCGTGCACATACGCGCCTGGCACGATGTTCAAGCCTCCGGGTCTGGGACGTGCCGCAGGAAGTCCAGCACCTTGACCACTCCCCCACCTGCTGGCCCCAAATACCCCGTTTGAAATACCTCGGAGTTCCTGCTCTGCTACTGACTCTCCGTCTGAACGAATGTGGTTTTAGTGCGCTCGGATGGGATGTCGTGGAGGGGGCTGGCCTTCGTCGTCCTAAGCTTTATGGTCCTAGGGTCTCAGTTACATGCCCAGCATTAAACAAATGCTGAGACCCTGCCCTGAGGAACTCGCCGTCGCTGGGACAGTCCGCCGCCCTAGCCAGCCGGGGAGAGCCTGCCTGTACCCTCACAGGGAGCCCGTGACGGCCCCTCGCTGGGCAGGCCCCCTGGCCCCCACCATTCACACTCATGTGCACACATGCACACATGTGTACATTCACACACACACATAACCCATAGTTCCTCAGCCCTGCCTCCCACCCTCCCCCCTGCTCCTGCTCCACATCCCTACTTCTGCCCCTGCCCCTGCCCCTGCCCCGGGCATTCTTGGTCATCGTTTTTCGCTAGACAGACTTTTGGGCTGGAGAGTCAGACGCAATGGCTACACATGTACATGAAGGCAGGGCCGGCATTTACCCCGGAGCCTGAGGGTGCAGAACTACAGCAGGGTAAAGGGAAGTCTCGAAAACTCAGGCGTGGCCAGCAGGCAGTGCCAGTGAGGAAGAAGTCCCCTCTTCCCTTAGCCTCAGCCACAAGCCCTCGCGCAGCTCCTCAGGTGTCTGCGGAGGCGGGAGAGTGGCCTCGTGGGCCGGAGGGCTGAGCCAGCAGGAGCTCAGGGCTCCACACCAGGCTCCCACAGCGAAGCCAGGACAGAGCGGGGCGGGCACGCGTGTGAGGGTGACCATGCAGAAGCCGGTGCCGAAGGGTGGCCGGGGGTCACCACGACATTAACGAACCCGCCCACACAGAGTGCAGTTTTCCTCATGACAAGGAAATCGAGTCTACCTTTCAGTCCAGCCGAGCGGAGATAAGTGGAAGGACTGTCCCGGCACCTCCTCTTCCCCGTGCCCGGGGCCGGGCGTTGTTACCCTCCTTGATTTGCTAAGCCAGTGGGACGTGCTCCTGGAGGTGGCATGGGTCCTTTGCCCGAGACTTGGGGGCCTGGGTTTCGTGTTGGTCACAGCATGGGAGCTGACTTTCCTCTGGGGGTGGCATTGTGAAGGCGGGGCGTGTCCAGGAAGGCGGAATGACCACAGGTCGCAGGACACAGGAGGTGCTCAGAGGGGCCCCGGCACCACACTCGCCCGCCGGCCTTGCGTGCTCTAATCTGCTCCAGAACCAAGTGTCAGCCAGGTGCATGTGACTCAGACTCAGAATCTGCAGCGTGGGTGGCTGGTCCCCCAGGGCTGTGCTGGGGCACACCCCACGAACCAAGGCACCCTGAAGGCCTGCAGGTCCCTGAACTGCAGAGCCCACGTGGTCAGGGCTGCAGATGCTCAGAGCACCCTGCCGGGGCCTTGGCCTGGGACCTGGGTCAGCTTCCATGGAGTGCCCCTCCCCTCACAGGGGCGTGGCCTGTCTTACCACGGGCAGGAGGAGCCCTGCTCTGCAGGGTTGTGTCCTGGCGCTCTGGTCAATTTCGGGCTTAGGGACACGCGGGTCACTTCCCCTAAAGTCCGGAGGAGACCTGCCCCTCCGCCCTGTGCAAAAGCTCTCCAAGGCAGCAGGTGCCCTAGCACCCTCTCTGATCCCCTGGCCTGAGTTCTGAGGGCTAGAAAGCAGGGAAGCATTGCCGTCCCTCAGGAGCAGAGCTGCAGGGAGCTCGGGGAGGCCCTGGAGGAGCCAGCCTTCTGTGGGGAGCCATGGCCACCCAAGGGTCTCTCACTGTTGCTGCGTCTGGGCCTGACAGCATTTGCCTCTGTCTTCCAGGCCAGCTGAACCGAGACGTGACGTACGCACAGCTCTACGCCTTCCTGAACTGCCTCCAGGTGAGCCCCCGCCTCAGCCCAACGGCCTGGCCCGTGGCGGCTCCCCTCTAACCGGAGTGCTGTCCCCTGTCCCCAGGTCAGCCCTTGCCATGGCTGGATGTCTTCCAACAAGACGCTACGGGCCCTCACTTCAGAGGTAGGACTGCCGGGGGCCTGTCGACACCATCTTGGGTCGTTCTTTCTGTTTGCTGCAGGCAGGTTCTGGCAGGGAGATGGTCTCCCAGCTGGGCACACACTGCAGGGTGCCTGAGGGGCCAGGACAACTGGAGTGCCCCGTCTCCACCCACCTCTCTCTTACCCGTTCCTCTTAGCAGTCACTGTCTGTGACCTTGTCTCTCTCATGCATGCACACGTGTACACACACACACTGACAGCCATTACAGCTGGCCCTAGGCATGCAGTGGAGGGAGAGAACTGAGCCCCCTTAGCCCAGAGAGTGACCGGAGTGCTCCTGAAATCTACAAGGCCCTTCCTCACTTCTCTGAAGGAATCCATTGCTCAAGCGAAATGGTTAACAATTCTTTCTTCTTTTTATTTATTACTTATTTAAATCACTTATTTAATTTTATTTAATGCTATTATTATTATTATTATTTTTAATTTGACCAAAGAGAGAGAGAGAGAATGAGAAAGCAAGCTGCCAGGTCTGGGACTCAAACCACTGTTGGCCGTGTAGGAGTCCAGCACCTTAACCACCAGGCCATCTGCTAGCCCCTGGTTTGCAATTCTTTAAGAAATGGAAAAAAAAAAAATCTTTGTATAAGATTTACTTCATCTTTTTTTAACAAAAGAAATATATTTTAATTAAAAAACTTAGTGAGCACACAACAAAAGAAAATCACACAATAGTAGCAAAAATCTTTCAGTATTCTCCCGCCGGAAGTTAATATATGTGTCGTCTTTCCAGTTTCGCTTCCACAGGGAGATATTTGGGTCGTGCATCCACAGTGGGAGCATCCGGTGCTCTTTCACGTCTTCCAATGTTCACACGTTGCTTCTTCGTATCACAAAGTTGTAACCATGTTTAAAGACACACGTCTGACCATGCCTTGATTAATTCACCCCTCAGTGTTGGGCATATGGTTTGTTTTCATCTTTCACTGCGATCAATCGATAAATCGCATCGTGATGAAAAAGCACGTGTATGAGGAGCACGCCTCTGCATACAACTCCGCCTCCTCCAGGTGCAGTCCTAGGCACACTGTGGGTGAGAGGGCAGGCCGTGTGCAGGGGTTTGATCTGGAGGGCCGGGTTGCCCCTACAGAGGTCGAACCATTCGCCATGATCGTGGCTGCTCACCCTGCGTCAATGCCACGGGAGAAAGTGGCAACTTACAGCTGTGATTTACACAGCTCTGACTCCCAGTGAGCAATTTTCACCCATTCATCGGCCACTTGTGCTGAACAGAGTTTAACGTGCGGGCCGCTCTCTGCCGGCGGTGGTCGGGGCGAGGAGAGGGGAGCAGGGCCGAGGGTCCGTTTCTTTGTCCTGCCTGAATTGTCTGCTGAAGTCCAAGCCCATGTCTCACGGAATCCTCCTCGTTTCTTTTGTATTCAGAGAGCGAAGCAACTCTCCAAGACTCTGGAGAGAATTGCAGACAGCGAGAGATTTACGAACCTCAATCTTTTCTACATGGATTTTGCCTTCCAAGAAAGTAAGTTGCTTGGTTTCGGTATTGACGGAGCGTAAACGCCGCCAGCAGAACAGGGCCTGTCTGGCAACGTGCTCATAAACCAGCGGGTGGCGGCCTGGTGGGATTGCTCCTGCCTCACTGGACAGCTAGCAGCTCTCAGAGGGGGGCCTTCTGGAAAGGTGGGGCTTGGCCTTACCTCCTTACCTCACCAGCATTTTAGAATCCCCGGAGCAAGGGAGTCAGCAGGTAGCGTGTGCTTAAGGTGCTAAGCTCCCACGTGGCCAACCGTGGCTTGCGTCCCCAACCTAGCAGCTTGAAAACCATGCCAGGTGCATGTGCATGCATGCCCAAAATCCCAAGAGAGGAGAACGGAGGAGGGATTGCCATGCGGCATCTCCCTTGAGGCGTGATTTCTCACTTTCCTTTCTCACCTTCTCTCTCTGGCGAGCATACACACCCGGTAGCAAAATCTTAAAAACAAAACAAAGAATCGCTGAAACAATAGAGCCAGAGACCTTTGGGAAACAGTTCTGGGCTGGGAGCCCAAGAAATAGGTTATGGAGGTCTAGCAGGTGGCATAGAGGTTAAGGTGCTGGATCCCACATGGCCAACTGCTCAATTTTTTTAAATTTATTCATTCATTTATTTTAATTTGACACAGAGAGAGAGGGAAAGTGAGAAAGCAAGCCACCAGGCCTGAGACTCAAACCATGGTCTGCCATGTGGGAGTATCCAGTGCCTTAACCAGAACACCACCTGCTGGTCCCCCAACTGCCCAATTTGAATCCTGGACCCAGCAGCATAGGGGTTTTGCTGGACTCCCACATGGCTGACCATGGTTTGAGTCCTAGACCTAGCAGCTTGAAAACCATGCCAGGTGCATGTGCATGCATGCCCAAAATCCCAAGAGAGGAGAACGGAGGAGGGATTGCCATGCGGCATCTCCCTTGAGGCGTGATTTCTCACTTTCCTTTCTCACCTTCTCTCTCTGGCGAGCATACACACCCGGTAGCAAAATCTTAAAAACAAAACAAAGAATCGCTGAAACAATAGAGCCAGAGACCTTTGGGAAACAGTTCTGGGCTGGGAGCCCGCAGGCCAGTGGAAGCACCTGTCTGTGCTGGCCACGTGAGCAGTGCCAGGTTACCCACCGGCTGCAGAACGCAGGCATGGCCATGAGCGAGGAAAGGTGGGGCTTGGCCTTACCTCCTTACCTCACCAGCATTTTAGAATCCCCGGAGCAAGGGAGTCAGCAGGTAGCGTGTGCTTAAGGTGCTAAGCTCCCACGTGGCCAACCGTGGCTTGCGTCCCCAACCTAGCAGCTTGAAAACCATGCCAGGTGCATGTGCATGCATGCCCAAAATCCCAAGAGAGGAGAACGGAGGAGGGATTGCCATGCGGCATCTCCCTTGAGGCGTGATTTCTCACTTTCCTTTCTCACCTTCTCTCTCTGGCGAGCATACACACCCGGTAGCAAAATCTTAAAAACAAAACAAAGAATCGCTGAAACAATAGAGCCAGAGACCTTTGGGAAACAGTTCTGGGCTGGGAGCCCGCAGGCCAGTGGAAGCACCTGTCTGTGCTGGCCACGTGAGCAGTGCCAGGTTACCCACCGGCTGCAGAACGCAGGCATGGCCATGAGCGACCCCAGCCACAGCAGCCGTGCGAACTCTCGGGCCCCGCCACCGGGAACCCAGGCAGCATCTCCAAGAGCGGGACCCGAGAGCTTGCCTGTGGCCAAGCGAGCTCCCATGTCCCAACTTCCTAGCCCGGTACAGAACTTTCTAGCGCGTGAGCCAACGGAGGACTCAGTGGCGAAATCAGGGCAGCTCCTGCCTTCCTCGCCACGCCTGGACTCAGCACGGTCCGTTGCCCGCTGTAATCCTGCCAGCTGTATCTTCATGGCTAAGTGGCTTTTACACCAGAGAAAAGCCCCCTGGGGCTTGCCAGCTGAGAGGCTGCTAGGGAAACGCTCTGCAGTGTGCAGAGGAGGGAGGTCTCTCCTCTGTCCCGCCACACCCCAGCCCCAGCATCTGGCCTGGAGCAGATGGCCCTCACGAATGATCAGACAGTGCATTAGCTGACACGCTTCGCACTGAGGCTCCAGAGCTCCAAATCCGAACTCTCTTCTACGGCAGTCATCTCCCTTAACTGGGCTTCCTGCCTCAGCGATACACGTTTCTCTCATGGGGAGAGACATTTTGATAAATAACCTCTCATTAAAATGCAGAGCCGAAGGCTCATTAATGAATCCTGGTATAAACAAGCACCCTCCGAGTGATCTTTGAGCATCGCCAACCTTGAATATAAAGTTATTAAAAATATAATAATGGCTAGCATTCGCATGGGATTTTTATATCCCAGAGTGAGTTCTAGTTCTGTCATTTATGATCTTTGGGACTCTGGGAAGTCTCTGAACATTTTTCTTTTTAAAGTTTTTGCCATAGGGCATGTGTGCTTGCCAGAGAGACAGGAGAGTGAGAGGGAAAGTGAGAAATCACCCCCCAGGGGAGAGCTACACCACAGTCCCTTCTCCTCCATCCTCCTCCTGGGACTTCAGACACGCACACGTGTGCCCAGTGTGAGTTTCAAGCTGCCGTGTCCAGAACTGGAACCGTGGTCGACCATGTGGGAGTCCAGTGCCCCAACCACCATGCCACCTGGTGGCCCCACTCTGAACATTTATAAAACTCCCCTTTCCAGACCTGGAAATGAGGGTGCCATGTCTACCTGGCGCATCTGTGATGGTCATGTGACATGGCGTTGCATCCCCTACGTGCTGTGTGGGGATGGGGACATTGCCAGGACCAGGAAAGAGCGTGTCCCCACATCCTAGCCATCAGCGTGTGCTTCTGGGAAAGCACAGAGCACACCCCAGAGCTGGTGACCGATGCAGAGCACGGGCCCTCCCCCGCCAGAGCCCGCCGTGAGGAGCCCACAGCCACCCGTACGCCGTGACAGTTCCACACGTGGAGTTCTGAGGTGTCCGGGACGGTTCGATCAGTCAGTCCTCGGATGTTTCGCGAAGTCCTGCTACGTGCCAGGAGCTGGGTCAGTGCTGGAATGCAGTTGTTAGAGACAGATGCCAACCTAAAATAGTAACAGTAATAAACTGTGAGGCAAAGGGTGTGAGCCAGATTGGAGGGCTGCAGTCCAGCACGCTGCCCGGCGGGCATAGCCAGGGTGCCCTGGCCAGGGCACCAAGTCCTTACGGCCCTCAAGCAGGGCTTAGAGGCAGAGCCACGAGCAGGGGGCAGGGAGGGGCTTCTGCCAGTGTCCGGGGACGGCTACCTTGGCTCCCAGGCTTACTCCAAGTGCGGCGTTAGTGCACGGTCGTACGCAGACTCAGCAGGGGCTGTCGCCGGGTCGCAGTGGTCCGTATGCACGGCTGCAGTTCTGCCCGAGTTGTAGGAAGAGCAGGCTTGTCATCAGGCACGCCGGCGTGAGAAAACACTCCCTCCGTGGCCTTCCCGCCTTGGGTTAGGCACAGCTGACACAAACGACCCCAATTTGACTTTGACAAACTCCCACACTGAGCAGCTCTTTGCTCCACGGAGGCGTCGAGAGGAGAGCCCTCCCCTCGACCCAGCGGCGAAGAGCACCAGCTCACCTGGGAGCAGAGCCTCAGCAGCCCCGGTTCTCACAGGAGCAGCGAGTGCAGTAAAAAGTGAAAGCGTAGCTAGACCTAGCTGGAACCACGTCGGCGTGGCCGGAAGCTCCCAGGAGTGTCTGCCTGCTCGGCGATGCCCACCCCCAGCTCAAGGCTTCTCCTTCTTTGTAATCTCCTGCCATGCTTAAAATAAGGGACCAGCAGGGACCAGCAATTAGCATAATGGCTATGTCACTGAACTCCCATGTGGCCGACCGCAGTTCAAGTCCCGGACCCGGCAGCTTATACTCATGCCCGGTGCATGTGCGTGCATGCCCAAGATCCCGAGAGGAGATTGGAGGAGAAGGAAGGGATTACAGCTTGGCCATCCCCCCTGGGGGGGATTTCTTGCTTTCTGTCTCTGTCTTTCTGGCAAGCGCACATGCCCTATAGCAAAAGTCTCTCTCGTTTCCCTTCTGGGGGGTAGCAGAACAGAAACAGGGCTGCGTGTGGCACACCTGACCTCCGCGGGAAAAAACCAGCCGCTCACTGGCACCCCCGCCCATCCTCATCAGCGTATGTAAAGTAACTCCTACACGCTTCCAGGGCCGTGTAGACGGGTCATAAATGCTTAGTCCACTTCAACGTCCAGCCGCTCCCATCACCGAGCACGCTGTGGGTTATGTGGTGTTCCTTCCAGCACCGCGTGGAGGAGACGCAGCCCGTTGTCACGGTGGTCCCCTTCATCAGGGACCAGAGCCCTGCAGCGCCCAGGGAATCTGCAGTCTTCGGGGTCAGCGCACCCCTCCTCTCGCTTCGGCGCTGTACTTGCGCTGACAAGTGCTCACTAAGGTCGTTTCCCATGACACGCAAGTCCACGATTTCACGTCCTGCTGATGGAGCAAGCTGCAGTCGAGGACCCGTCACTAGAGGGGAGACGGGACCTGCTAGCTCTCTGCCCTGGCAGCCTCTGCCCCCAGAAAGATGGCCGTTCAAACCCCACGGACCGTCCATGCTCCTCGGAGACGTTTAATGCCCATTTTCTGAGGGACAAACAGGAATCCACTTACCTATCGGGTCACCGGAAAAGTCATGACATATTTTTCTGTTTTCCTATGTAAAAATGTATCCTGGCTTTTCCGATGACCTGGTACTCTGAATTATGGCCCAGGGAGGAGAGAGAGCAGTTTTCCCAGCCTGGCCCTTGGAAGGCTTGCACCACCCAGTTAGCCCTGAGGCGAAGACCCTGTCTGGTGTTGCATTTCTCCCAGGGAAGCAGAGTTTCATCCTGAGATGAAAGGTGGGCAGGGGGGTGGCATTCTGCCTAGCACCTGTCACAAGACTGAACACCCCCTGAACTGCCTGTGGACAACCGAAGCTACCTGTGAGTTCTACAGCCCCGAGGGCTGCCCAGACGCTGTGACCAGCAGCCCTACAGACACAGCGATGGCGTGAGAAAAACGCGTTTCCCACTGGGAATGGATGGGCTGTGGTCGGCACCTCCCGACAGACTCTTTGAGTACCTGCTGTCGGATCTTGTGTGCCAAGTCAGTTAGGGGAGGATGGGAGCTGGAGCAGGAAGAAGGCCGTGGACGCACTATCGCTGACATCATAGGATTGCTGGGGCATGGTGACACTCAAGAGGGGACCCTCCCGCTGCCCCCAGCCAGGGCTCAGCTCTGCTCCCTCACGCTTAGCAAGTAAACGGCCCCTTTTCCTGTATGCTTTCGCTCCTGAGCTTCCTCTCAGAATCCCAGTTCTGGGACTGCTGAGGCCAACAGGGGGAGCAGAAGGGAATGACCGTCCCCTCTCCTTGTGAAAATAGTCATAATCTGATGATTGAAGTTGTCTCTTCTTCCCACGAAGATGACTAGCAACTCCTCTTCCTTTCGCTAAGGGCCGTAGTTTTTAGTCTGTGAGTAACACACGTAAAATTCAAACCAAAATGGAAACCGCCTAGAATAACTTCCAGCCTAGGTGCCAACCTTGAATCACACTCGGGGAAGCTCGAGTGTTAGCAAGTCTGACCTTTCGAAGCCTGAGCTCCTGGGAGACTCTTCTCTCAAGAAACACGATCTTGATTCAATTGTGTTTCCTTAACCAGCGTGAATCCGCTTTACACTGCGGATTTTCAGATCTTGTGATCACTATAATTCTTTCCTAGATTTTTTTCTTGGCCATTAAAGTTACGAGATTTGATTTAACTTGTCACTCATTCTTCTGTACACACACGGAGAGTCAGAGCGCTGTAAGAGGCTTTCTGGGCCAGCCCCACTGAGCAGTGAGTAGGCACTGCAGAGGAAGCTGGATCCCACATAGATGACCAGGGTTCCATCCCAGCCCCGTCAGCCGCACACGAGGCACACAGCTGTGCCCAAGATCCCGATGTGACAGAATTGGAGGGAAAAGGATTGCAGCGTGGCCAGGCCCCGCGTGGGGATGCTCTCAGACCAGCACATGTGCATGCCCTCCTGCAAAAACAGAAAAGACCGCCTACCCTACTGGGTCAAAGGACACCCGCGTGATCTGGGTCAGCCCCCGGGCTTGCTGTGCATCTATGCAAGACGGTGTTTCATGTCTTACTCATCAGTTCTGCCATAGTGTGCATGTACTCACCAGAGAGACAGAGAGACAGCGAGAGGGAGCCTGAGAGACAATGAGAGGGGAGGTGACTACCCTCCCTTGGGTGGCCACGCTGCAGTCCCTCCCCACCTGCAGTGCTGTTCTGGCATCACTGAAAACGAGGGCTGGCCAGTGGCATGGTGGTTGAGACAGCAAGATCCCTCACGACCAACAGCGCAGTTCGGGTCCTGGACCCAGCAGCTGGAAAAACATTCTAGGCATGTGTGCATGCGTGCCCAAGAGCCTAGGAGGATGGAGGAGGAGGGACTGCGGTGTGGCCACCCCCGCGGGCGTGCTGTCTCATGCTGCCGCTCTTTGTCTCACTGGTGAACACATGCCCTAGAGCAGAATTACATACGAATAGACATAGACATAAACACGCACACACAGTAGGGCTACACTGGCGCAGGATATTCTAGGGCTCGTTTTCCCAAGCTTGGGAGAAATCGCCACGAGAAGGTCGTTCCTGCTCAGACACCCGCAGCCCAGCTCACAGCTCCGAGCCAGCCCAGGCCGGATAGCAGGAGCCTGGGAGGGTGGGGGGCGGCTCTAACGCCCTCCCCCCTGGCCCTTGCCCTCGGGCGTCGACCCTGGCTTGTGACGTTTCTGACCCCTGTCTGTGTGCCCTGCAGTCACAGAGGAGTGGCGGAAGAGAGGCGGGCAGCCCTGGCAGCTCATCGAACCCGTGGACGGATTCCACCCCAACGAGGTGAGCACAGCCTCGCGGGCGGCAGGGCTGCCGCGTACTCTGTGTACCCTTATGCGGTGTGTGTTTGTTTTTACCCTGTCTTGTTCCAGAAAAGATTTTTGTGTGTATTTACTTATTTATGTGTTCCGTGAGGAAGGGAAACAGTCAGGCTTCCCTGGCAGGTCCCCCTTACGTGGTCCACCCCGTCTCGCCAGCCCTAGCTCACGGGCACACGCACATCTGGCGTGCTCGGGGGCCCCGATCACAGACCCAGGACCTTGCCCGCGTGGCACTGTGCAGTTGCCCTGCACCCGCCGCCTGGCACCCGGAAGAAAACGGCAGTGATGCAGTGTGTGTAATAGAAGATCCGATTAACAATGAAGTGGCTGTTCGGAGAAGAGGAAAACGGGGCCGAAGTTACACCGGCCCGCCCTGGAGCAGGTGCTGCGCGTGGAGAAGCCGCTCCCGCGTGGCAGGCCGCGGGCCGAGCAGGGCCCTGGTGGCTTGAACGCTCCGAGCGCGTGTGCACCTGTCCGAATCCTTACAGGATGGGAACGGAGCAGGGGGGCCTGCAGCGTGACCTGCCCGAAGGGGCGGGCTGGGGCGCCTGGTCGCACGCTCGCTCTCTCTCACGAGCACACGGGCCCAGATTGCTGACTTGGTGTCCCGCTTGTGGGTCGTGTTCCGGGCAGCCCTGAGAAACCAGCAAGGGCACGTGGGGACCTGTGCTCTCCAGCGGCCGACGCACAGGGGGGTGTGCGGCCTCCTTAAGGCTGGAAATACCGAGTTCTGAACGTCCCACGAAGATTCTGCAAGTGAGATCTGTGAGAACCTTCCTCTCTCTGGGTCCTTCTCGAGAGGACACTGTGAGAGCAAAGCAGCCCCTTCACGACGCAGCGGGGCTGTCCCCTGGGACTCCCAGGGCCCTTCGCGGAGCTCTGTTCTGGCGCCGGGAGTCCCTCCCAGGCCACGCCTCACCCCTCTGCCTGGACTTCAAGCAGAGAAGCTCCACTTTGACCCTCACAAGCTGGACTTGCTCCTGACGCCCCTTAGACTAAGAAAAGGAAAAGACCAGGAGGGTTCTGCCACTTCCAGGATTCCAAGGCCAGTCCTCCACAGGGGCGACGAGCCTCTGCCCTCAGCCATCCCCGGGACTGGGCACGGTGGTGAGGCTGGTGACCAGGGGACAGACCTGAGCACACCCGGGGCACCCCGAGGCCACAGTCTCCATGGCCAGCCAGGTCACCAGGGTGGCCAATCACCTCAGGGGCCTGAAGGGGACTACAGCCCGCCCTCCCCTGAAGGGAGTCCCATGGGCAGGGCTAAGAACTGCTTCAAAGGGGAAGAGGGGCCGCTCCCTGAGGGCGAGTGAACGGGAGCCCGCAGTCCCGGAGCCCCCAAAACCCCAGGAGGAGAATCGACCCCTTCTTTAAGGGACTGTGGCGGCCCTTCCCCCAGGGGATGATTTCTCACTTGGCCTCTCACCTTCTCTGTCTCTCTCCTGCAAGCACACTTTTAAGAAAGGGTCCAGCAGAGGGCGCAGTCACATCACTGGACTCCCACACGACCCACTGAGGTGTGAGTCCTGGACCCGGCAGCTTGAAAATCACACTGGGCACATGTGTGTTCATGCCCAAGATCCCAGGAGGAGAATGGAAGAAAAGGGATTGCATGCAGTGTGGCCAACCCCTCTGGGGAATAATTTCTTGCTTTCTGTGTCTCTGTCTCTCTGGCAAGTGCACATGTCCTATAGAAAAAATCTGTCTCAAAAAAAAAAAAAAAGAAAAGAAAAAAGTATCAAGTCATTATAAGTTTTTGGTAAAACCTACACAATTTTTCTCTGAATTACATTTATTCTTTACAAAGATTACACAAAGGTGGGAACCAGCAGTTAGCATAATGGCTATGTCGCTGGACTCCCACATAGTCAACCGCAGTTCGCGTCCCGGACCTGGTGGCTTAGAAGTCACGCCGGGCGCGTGTGCGTGCATGCCCAAGATCCCAAGAGGAGAATGGAGGAGAAGGGATTGCGGCATGACCATCCCCCCTGGGGGGTGATTTCTCGCTTTCTGTCTCTATGTCTCTGTCTGTCTGGCGAGCGCACGTGCCCTATAGCGAAAACCTCTCCAAAAAAAAAAAAAAAAGATTACACAAAGGTAATTATTGTTTAGGGTTTGTTTTTTATGGTGGTTTTACTAAAGAGTTCTAGTTTTATTGCAAAATACAGCCACAGACCGCTTACCGCTGTTTGGTGGGCGACAGATCAGGTACACCAGGGTCCTGTAGAAGCGCATGGCCACACCCCACGGCCGAGCACGGAGGGCTCGGCATCCAGGCCTGTGTGAGCACTCCCTGTGGAGGTCACACTGTGACGAGAACACCTCACCACGCGTTTCTTGGAACGAGTCTCGTCATTAAGTGACTCGTGACTGCAAAAACAATCGGCGTATGAAGTGGGAAAATGGAGGACTCCAGACTGTGGCCAGCCATAACCACTCCCACAACCTGGGTGGGCGCTGTCCCAGAGTCCCCTTCTGGGACAAGAGAGCCCCTGGCGAGCCCCGTCCCCAGCTCAGTCCTGTGTGCTGGCTCTCCGCAGGTGGCCTCGCTGCTGCTGGCGGATCACTTCTGGAGGAAGGTGCAGCTTCAGTGGCCCCAGGTCCTCGGGAAGGAGAATCCCTTCAACCCCCAGATTGAAAAGGTGTTTGGCGACCAAGGGGGACACTGAGCATCTCAGCAGGCATGCCGACGGGGAGCAGGGAGCGCTGTGCGGACAGCCTGCGGCCGGACCGGGGACCCTACTGGGGCTGCCGTGCCCGGGGCCCAAAGCACCCTCTGGCAGCATCTTTGCACAGTCCTGGCCACGCCAGAATGACTCCGTGCGGCTCGCACTCCAGGACCCCTTCCCTTACAGCTGTCCCTGAGTAACCTGTAATAAAGCATTTTACCCCATCCCTGGCAGGGGTGTGTCGTGCCTCCCACAATGGATTGTTGCAGGAGGGGCTGGAAAAGCTCCCCCGGAAACCCGGTGCTGCGTGGCAATCTGCCCAGGGTCCCTGAGTGCCAGGGACTGACCCCAGCTCTCAAAGGTGGTTCAGCCTGCTCGGGCTCCCCAGGAAGCCTGCCAGGAGCTCCTCCAAGCAGAGACAGTGCAGGTCCCAGGTCCTGTGGGCCCACCTTAAAGACAGACGCTAACTGAAGGACAGACCCAAGTACATAGTGTAAGAACAGACGCCGCAAATCCCAAATTGTGACGAGTTGACCAGTGAGCCCCACAAAGTCAGGAAAACGACCTCTTTGTCTTTATAAGATTTCTTCATATTCTTTAGCTGCAAAATCTGATATCTTTTCCTTAAAATAATGACCATGACGTCATCTCTATAGAAAGGGCAGAAAAATGAACCGTGTCATCGTGGACGCTCAGAGGAGCCTCCCACTCTCCAGCTCCCATCGGTGTGGACTGGAGGGCGTTTCCCAACTGGGAAGGGCCCTGTCTTCTGCTTCGGATGCAAATGATCGAAGACTCACCGTCCAGTCCCGCTCGGGGTCGCCATGGCTGTACACACACAGGAACCGGATAACCCGGCTGCACAGCCTTCTGCTGTGTCCCCTCCCTCACCCACCTCTGGACACAGTCAGGAATCCAGGGCTGGGTCCCGTGAGCCCAGGTCACCTGACCCCTGGCACACCCTTGGAGAAGAATCAGCCAGTTCCTTACCCTAAGCAGGCTTAGGTGGGAGGACAAGGGTGTTCAGTCCTGAGTTGTGAGCCCTGATCCCCGGGCCTTCCAGGGGACACGTGCACTCACCAGAAGGGAGAAAGGGAGAGGGGAGAAGGCGCCCCCAGTGGCTGCAGTCATGCCACCAACCCTTCTCCTCATCCTTCCACCCTGCTGGGATCCGCCAGGTGCACGCTGCCGGTGATGCTGGAGGCTGCGGAAAGACTCCAGGTGGGCGCCCGAGTCTGCCGGGCTCGCAGGGGGTGCCCGTGACACTGCCCGACTGCAGGACGGCCCGGGGGGCTGCGGTGTGAGGACCACCCGCGCTAACTCCCTCTCTGGCATGTTCCTCAAGACTCCAGGCTGGACCTTGAACTGCAGTGAGTGACAGGGATATGGACCCCTTAGCCACTGGGCTCCGAGGCCAGCCCTGGGCAATTTTCATATGGGATTAGGCCCTTTGGATTCAAACCCTGAAGGAAAATGTTTTGTTTTGTTTTGTTTTAGTTTTTTATTTCATTTATTTCCTGAAAGAGATAGTTACCCTCCGTGGTGCTCATGCCACATTCCCCGGGCCGTCCTGCAGTCGGGCGCCCACCTGGAGTCTTCCCACGGCCTCCAGCATTACCCCTGCAATGCCCCTGGTCAGGCCCCGATAAAAAATGTTCTCAGGCCCCCCAGCAAAAACAGATAAGCTCAAAATTCACAAGATTTGTCCCATACACAACGAAGCAGGACCCGCACCCCTGGGGTCTCCTACTTTAACCCACCGGAAGGCCTTCTTACATGGGGTTCTCAGGGATCCGGGATTGAGGGTACCTGCAAATGTGAGTGGGAACTTCCGTCCTCACTGCCATCCCACTCAAACCCCGCTTTCCTCCCACGGTGAATGGAAGCGAGATAGCCCTGGCACCGGTGCGAAGGTGCTCCTCAGTGCACACTCCCTGCCGGTCTGAAGACACTCGGTAAGACGTCCACATCGGCCACGGGGGTGGGGTGTCATTCCCCCACACACCCTGTGACGTGGCCATCAGCCTGATCTAGCCCCGCAGAGCCACAGCTCTGGGACACGCTCGCAGGGTGAGGCTCAGAGCCCGCATGCCCGTCACCTGCTCACACTCGGCTGTCCGTGTGCTTCGTTTGAAGACACTGCATTTACTAAGACGCTCTCTCTCAGTGAGCTCAGAGCCAGCAGCCGCACTCAGGCCTTCACGAAGCTTCCCTGACCCGTGTTCTCGGTAAGGCCGTGACAGCCTGGCACATGCGGAGACCGCTCGGAGACCACTCAGCAGTGACATCGTCAGCAAAAGCGTAAACGTGCCCCAGACGTGGCACTGGATGTCCTGCGACCCAGCCCGGAGGTGACCCGGGCAGCACAGTGGCCCCTGGCCAACTTCCTGGGACCTCCCACACACCAGGCGTGTGCCCCAAGGCCATGGTGTGAAGACTCTGTTGGAGCCCCCCTCTTTCTGAAGAAATGAATAATTTTTTATTTTTAGTCAAGGAGGCTGGGGCCGGCAGGGGGTATCGTGGTTAAGGCACTGGACTCTCACATGGCCAACCGTGGTTTGAGTCCCAGATCTGGCAGCTTGGAGCTCACGCTGGGTGCATGTGCATGTGCATGCGAGCCCAAACTTCTAAAAGGAGGACGGAGAAGAGATTGCAGCATGGCCACCCCCACGGGGGCAGATTCCTCACTTTCTGTCTGTCTCTCCAGTAAGCGCACGTGCCCTATAGCAAAAATCTCTCTAAAAAGAAAAAAAAGGAGGCTCCCAAAGACCCCGTGAGCTGTCGTGATAGACAGATGTAGATACAAATATACGCACGGCACACACATCTGTGTGGAAAGACCTCCTCTGCGTGTATCGTGAGAACCCAGCACGTATGTATTGTGGAGCGCACACGTGCTGGTGTGGGGGCTGGGGCGGGGCCGGGCGTCACTTTGCACCTCTCATCTTTCACTGCTAGGCACGACCTCGCCGACTGGGCTCCATCGGCGTCCGCAGGGAGCGCGCAAAGCCGAGTCTGCGAGACCTGAGGAGCAGCTGCCTTGGAAGTCCTTCCCAGCCGCCCACACTTCCCAGCCCAAGTGACTGGACCCACACTGGGCCGTGCGGTTTAACAGAGTCAGAAGGGACGTGCACTAACGTAGGCCGGCTTGAAATATTTGAAAAACTTCTTGTGTATTTTCTCCTTCCATGAGGGAGAGGCGGGAGGACAAGGCCCCCAGTAGAGTCTTCATGGCTCAGCACACCCCGAAGCCCCAGCCCGCCTCGGACCATGGCACGCGCTTGCCTGGTCTGCTCGGAGACGTCTCCTGGGAACCTGGAGCTTCCCAGGCGCCCTGAGGGCTGGGTACCACTGCACCACCATCCACCCCCAAATGTTTTCATGACTGTGACATTTGATTTCGAGGGAGCTGGTTTTCTCTGTAACCCTTAGGTGTTTCATTCTTCGCATTTAGAAACGTTATTCTGAGAAGGGGTCTCCAGGCTCCCCCAGCTTGCCAAAGGGGGGCACAGCACGTAAAGGCTTCGTGGGGCAGGTGGGGGGTGCTTCCAGAGGGAAGAAGCCGCAGTCTGACCCGTTTGGAAGCCCAGGGTGACACAGCTGCACCCTGGCAGGTCACGGGGTGGAAGGCCCAGCACCCTCCCCGGCAGCTCCAGAGACAGGTCCCAGTAGGCCAGGGCCATGTCCCCACTGCTCACCTCGAGGCAGGCAGGATGTCTTTGGACCCTTTTCACGTGACGACAGTTTTCCAGCACCGCTCCAGCCCTGGCATGCGTGGCGTGTGCTCGCTGGGCTGCGTGGCTTTCCTGATGAGCGGCCGCGTCAGTATGCTACTCACATGCCGCTTTCTCATTAAGTCCGACGGCAGAGTCCGCGCTTGCTGGGGGGTGAGCTCCCCTAATCTGATCTGGCAGAGGATCCGGCATCAGTGTTCCTGCAACTGAGAGCTCTCTTAATCTGGTCCTTTGCTTGGGGTCAAAACGGAAGTGGGAGGGAGAGGTTGCTTTTAAAGCCTGTTTTCTGGGTCACTTCTTAAATCTGTAGTATCAAAAAATAATGACTTCAGGAACCAGCAGTTAGCGTAATGGCTATGTTGCTGGACTCCCACGTAGTCAACCAGTTCGCGTCCCAGACCTGGTGGCTTAGAACTCACGCCAGGCGTGTGTGCGTGCGTGCCCAAGATCCCAAGAGGAGGATGGAGGAGAAGGGACTGTGGTGTGACCATCCCTCCTGGGGGGTGATTTCTCGCTTTCTGTCTCTCTGTCTCTCTCTGTCTGTCTGGCGAGCGCACGCGTCCTATAGCGAAAA